GTCTCCGCGATACTAGCCGGTCCGGATGCCTGTGCCACTTCCTGAAGCACTCATGTTATCTTCGAGGAAATTGGCTGTGAACCACTTCGACCCTCATTGGCATCTAGAACCGCCTTTAGTTGACCCAGTTATACACAACCAACCACCTAACTTTGACTCGCTACTCAACCTCGTACGAGCACAACATAACACTCTCCCCGCCCATCAACAGAGCGTGTTGTGGAGTCAGTTAAGCCGGATTCTTGTCAGTCCAACTCCCACCATTGGTGATCCAGCTCCGATTCGATCTCGTGGTCGGCCTACAGGATCTTCGAACAAGACCAAGCGCGATCTTTGTCGTCATGAGCATCAGGAAGCTGAACAAAACGGTCCTCGATGTAGCCAATGCCACAAGACAGGTCACAACAAAAGAACTTGTCCTATCCCAGTAGAATCAGCAGATCCGGCCACAGTCGAGCATGGAGTGGTCTAGTCGTACAATGCTCAACACATCCTAGGACAAACACTATAAGATCCACCAAATACATACATGGATCTGAATTGTCCTTCTCTCTCTCCTTGTCTGTCTCTGTAGCTCTACAAGATCATCGCCTTGTTGGCTCTCGTCATTCATTTTGACACCACACTCCTTTGTCTTTGGTAATGAATCTTGTAATCGAGTCATCAAAGATATCAAACTTTGTCCAGCTACACAATAAGCTACGGAATTTACCCGAGCAATCACACTTGCTCAAAAGGGTTGAGAACCGAGTGGATTGAGCACAAGAACACAATGTGATCAATTCAATCGGTTCTCCTGACATCATGTGTTTTTTTATCTGGTCTTTCAAATGCTTAACCACACTAACCCAAAAAAAGGGAAACATATAAGGCACTCGACACGATCAATTCAATCGGTCTGATTGATTGTTTCTCAGAATTGTTTTCCAATCGCTCCGATCGATTCAAATTCGATCGGTCGGAGCGATCTCGATTCATATTGTTTGTTTGTTTCGCGCAACACTTGAAGGATCCTTCAATTATTGTACCTATATGATGTTTTGTTAGGGAAACAATCAAAGAAAATTCTCAGTGAGTGCTGAGAGCGCGGTTCAAGCTAGCACTGTCACGACTTGTGTCAGCAGCGACTAAGCCTTTCACTAGCTGTGAACGGGAGGGGGTGGTGGAGTTACTAGGGGGGGGTGGTGAGGATACCGGGATCCCAAAAATATAATAATGCTATGTCGTTTACATCACTTGGAGCTACTCTCGATAGATCAGTCATGGGACAGAGAGGTATTTATACATTCAGGATATCAGGGCAACTATCGCATAACATTGGTTCATTAATGCCAGCTCCTGGAAATCACCCTGGCTTTGCTCAAATATTTGTTTACGGCGGAGGTGGCAAAGGTGAAGCTCAACAACGAAATGCCTACTTTAATAATGGATTGAATATACGGATTTTGATGTTGTTTCAGCAGTTCATGGATTTACATAATCCGTATGCTCAGGTTTTTCGCTCTGCAGCAGCTATATGCGGCAACACTGATACCAGGCAATTGAGAATTAACACTATTAATGCAGCTGGTACTGACCATCGACGTTATAACCGCCCTACGACCAACGAAGTTGCAGCTATAGTCGAAGGCAATGGACAAATTGGGAATAATCAACGGGATATCATCCTTGAACGACAGACCGGAGATAGACAACGGATTTCAGAACTACACACGGCGTATTTTGCTCTCCGCTATCCCTTGTTATTTCCTTATGGATCACAAACTTGGCACGAAAATTTTGTAAATCCGACTGCAGCAAGTGAGTTGATTTTCTGGTTCATATTAATAGTGATGAATATAATACTGAATAGGAATTCACAATGGAATATTTACTCTTTATATTCGGTAGGACCAAATCGCGAAGTTACAAATCTTGAATGGTTTGCCTACTTGCTATTTCAACGCTCGACTTTTTCGATAATCCATGCTTCCGGCCGGCTGTTTCAAGAGTTCGCGGTCGATCTTTACGTTTGCGTGGAACACTCACGCCTTCAATTCCTCCGATTTCACCAAACAGAACTAAGAGCAGAAGTATATCAAGGTGCAGTTGAGGCATTAAGTAATGAAGTAGATGATGAAGTTGTAGGCCGCCGGGTTATCCTTCCATCAAGCTTCATAGGTAGCCCACGTCACATGCAGCAGTTGTACCAGGACGCCATGAGCTTAGTAGCGGAATTTGGCCATCCAAGTTTGTTTATCACCATGACAGCAAATCCAGCATGGCCAGAAATCATGGATGCGTTGGAATACGGCCAGGTACCAGAGGATCGCCCCGATTTAGTTGCCCGTGTTTTTCATGCAAAGTTTCACTCATTGCTAAAAGACGTTACGAAACACGAGCGATTCGGACGATGCTCCGCCTACGTTTATCATCATTCATCATTCATCATCATCATTCATATCATCATCATCATCATCATCATATCATATCATCATCATAACATTTAATCCCAATCATCATCATAATCATCATCATCTCATAACATTTAATCCCAAAGACGGTTCGCTAACAAAACCGGACAAAATCCACCCTTAGCGTGATATTCCAGTTTTGTCTTGGTCAGAAATCCCCCGGCAGGGCAAATCCCCCTTCAATTCACATTTCATATATCCATCCCCCATTTCATCGCTACCCAGATACACCCCCTCGCCTGAAACCCTCCGTCTCGCCATGCAGTGACATTCTGATCAACCTGACCGACCATATTACCTTGCCACGCAGCCCACTTGGAACCAACTCACCACATGTTCAAGAAAAAGGAGTGATCATCCTCATGACAAACACCTACGACATCAGCCAGCGTTACCAATCACATCTCAATGTCAGCCGCCAGTGTTTCCATTTCACCTGCTCAAATGCAATCTCATTGGCATTCAGACAGAGGTCCAGTCATGTTGTACGTACAATCTTACTCTCAGTTCCTCCAGACCCCTGCTCAGATTCATCTCGACGCTTGAATCATATCACACTTTGGAAGTATCTTTACTCTTCTGATAAAATTAATCTCAGGAATGCACACTACTCTTCAATATAACAGTTTTCGCATATCTGTAAATTTACCTCAAAAGTCTTTCATGCTTTCTGAAATTCATTCAAGTAACTAAATCCTTCTACTAAAACTACAGGTAAATCTTCTTAATCTGTTACTCAGATCCGACCCTTTCAATGGTGAAGATTCCTTGATCCAATTCACTTCATTCAACTGATGATTTTGTTTGTTTTGTTTTGTTTTGGATGTGTGAAATCAACTTCAGTTTGACTTGACCGTACCCCTTTTTTCGATTTAGATCGAAACCAAATCCAACCTACTCAAAAAACATTAAATTCAAAAATATCAATTGAAAGAAACAAAACTGTCCGAAATCTATGAGACAAATTGGAATGGTACATCTAATCAACATCATCAACATCATCTATCAAGTGCTGAGAAAAGAACTTTGATCCCACGGAATCAAAGCATGGATTCTGAGATGAACGTACTGAAAACACCATCACCGACCAAAAATCGTGCTAAATTAAAACTCTTTCTGAACCTGCGATGTCGTCAACTTGACTCAACTGCGTACTCCACCTCAATTTTCGTCTACACCCCTCATCCTCCCAAAGCTTTTCTCAATATTGACCCAATATTGTCTCATACTACTTAGTATCATGCAATATTGGATTCTTGGAACGATCAAGTGATGCCTGTAATGTTCTTTGTCATAGTTTTTCCATGATCTATCCATGTTATTTTTCAATACTAATATGATCCTTTTTGTACTTCACACTTCATACAATAGGCTGTAGACATGATCATAGGGCATTTGAATTGATTCTATCCCCGAATTCAACCCATATCAATGGGCGTACACAGATCTTTTGTATCAGCTAGGGCAATAATTAATAAAAATATTATAGTTTAATTTAACATACCTTAACCAATTATCGACTGGATTCAAATGATTATCATCATCAGTCCACTACAAAATCACCTAATCCATCAATCAAACAAATCAAATCGGATGAAGATGATTTAGAATTACTTGCAAAGCAAAAGAAAAAATCTGATGCCCGAGCTGCTTTTTGTTTACGTTGTCAAACTTACATAAAGGTTAGCATTCCTTCTTCCCTACCCTATTCTTATATCAACTTTTCTTTTTACGAGATGAGGCGTTCTTAAACTTTAATGATTCACTCAATGATTTGATTGTTTAACTTTTTTTTGGATCGATTTCTATGTAATATAGTTTGGAATACACTGTCACCGGATTACAAAATGTGTTAAAGGAAATGGTGAGTGATTTTGGTTAGTTTACTGATTGTCGGTCACATATATGCTGATATTGAATACGACTAATGATCAAACAAATATCAAATGTGAACAAATACCATATCTAGAAAATAAAACAAATGAAATCAAAATAGAATTTGATTTACATCAAATCCATCAAGTTCACATTACAATCGTTGTAGATTTTCAAATAATTTCAATGAATCGACCACAACAACCATCAAGTTCATGAATCAATAAACATTCATCACCAATCTCAACTCAATTCAATCCAAATCAACCATCAACAACAAGTTCAACAATCGATCCTGGGAGTACTACTACCAACACAGCTACTACTAAAAACTCTGGTAATCCTCATAACACTAATACCAGTTTAACAATAGCAAGCCAATTGATCTTGAATTCTGCACCTCCTCCTCCAAATACATTAGAACCTCAATCGAATGAATGTTCAACTCCTTCAAATTCTCATAGACCTTATCCTACAGCCATCACATCTTCATCTCCATCTCATTTACTTCCATATTCCTAGAAGCTATTCATCACTAAGATCGAAGTCCATCAAGTTGAGCCATTGATTCTTGCAATCTTTCTATACATTTAATTGACCTCGAATTTGTTCTTGGCATTCCAAAAAATACCTCAGATGATCATGTTTCAAACCAAGGAAGTCATTCATCAAATAGGTTCAATCCAAGATGTGATGTGACCTTTTTTATACAAATTTAAACCAAACAAGTCCACCATTCTATTCATCATTAGAAACAATTTAAAATCCAAATCATCATCAAAGCTCAACATCAACACTGGACAAGCACTCGACTTATACCCGATCAAATCCTATGACCCCAACACGATTAACTCCAACCAAATATCCATCATCTTCATCTGGTTACTGGTATATTACAAAGAGGAAGAGCAGGAGATCCAGTTGATTTTTGGTTAGATGCAAACATTACAATTCATGTAGAGCTTATTTGAAAGATTCTAGAAAATTTCAAATCTTATTGAAAGATGAATGACCTGCTTACTATGATGAGGCTGAGATATGTGGTAGTGATTATGATCGAAGTTTGTGGTCTTTTCTTGCTTCCTTCATTGATTTCATTCATAGAGAATGATGCATTTAGTTTAACTTTTTGGGTTGGTTTTATAGTTAATGGGAGTTCTAGACGAAGTAAACATCTATCTGAACCTGTTGGAGATGCACTTCCATAAGGTAATGCACTCATATCTTCATTCAAGATCCTTTTTCATTGCACTGAATCATCTCTATGCAAACCTCTTCACTATTTTATATCTTCAATCAAATCAAATCAATTTCAACTTTTCATAATAAGCTCATTTTGATCGAAGCATCTCGTATCCAATCAATTCAATTTCATTCTAATCAGCTCCAAGATGCAGTGGTGCTTCTTGTCTATTAAAATCAAGATCTCCAATTCCAGTCCTACAGCTAGCATCTCATGTCTCACCAGCTGTTAGAGCTGTATTTCCACACAATAATCTAGATGAAGAAAGAGACGCCCAAAGAAATCCAGTTGGACTCTCACGTCGTGGTACATCTCATCTCAAGAACCCAACCCAACCAGTCATTTGTCAGTCCCATCTTCTCCTAATCATACATCCAATATTTTCATAACTAACTATTACTCTCTATATATATACATATAGATTTGTCTTCTGCAATCACTCGTACAGATTTGATAGCTTCTGCAGAATAAATTTATTGTTAAATTTTAACTGTTTTATGTGTGATGTTCTCAGGTTCCATATTTATTAGTGTATCTGGTCATTGCCTGTGAAACTCTTTTCTTTTCAATTGTCACTCTTGATTTTGAGCTCTTTTGGGGCACTTGAATTCATACCCCTTGTTTCTTTTTTATGAGTTTTCCTCTTTAATTTGTCTTGATGATTTGTTTCTCTCAATTGGAAAAGAACAGAACAGAAATGAATAATTCCATTTAATTGCTTCACATTGATTTGACACACATCCAACCCACATCAACAACATTCTCATTGATGTCTAATCAACATTACTTGGTGTCAAAACAAATCAAACTCAAGCCTAAATCCCTCAATCAAATTCATCTGAAGAGGAAATATCCTTGTAAAATTCAATGAAGATGTTGGATCAAATGGTTGAGTCTCCATTGAAGTGAGTGTTTTCACCTTGTAAAGTGATCTAAGTATACATATGTTATACTGACTTTATGTGAATTGATAACAACTTCACGGCATGAACATCAAGCCAACATAGGGTTGAATATAAAAGACAAATGTCAAATTCATCCTAGAAGAACAACAAGGAGACGACCAATCAGGTCTTATCATTACCATCATCATCAAGCTATCATGTTATCAAATACAAGATCTTTCCTCCTGCCCTTTCAATTGCCAACCTGTACAGTTAACTTGAATCAAGGACACCTGTAGTAATCAATTGTTAATAGCTGTTAAATCTCATTGCCCGCTTTTACTGCTGCCCATTGGGAGTTGGATGATTCCTTGATAAAAAATCCTAATTGTATCTGAAAAGCTTTTCACTTCCAAATGATGATGATGGATACATCAGCTCTGCAAAATGTGGCCAGTGCAATTTACTTGCTTATCAGAGAATTTGACCAGGTCAAAATCTGTGATTTGCATCTTACCAACCTTTGTTTGAGTATCTCAAGCCAGGACATTTCCTTGCAACAAAATCATACAAGCTCAATACAGTCAAACCTGCACAATCACATAATTTATGTGGAAGACTTTTGCTATGCATTTTCACGGGTTATGCAATTCCGTTGTCAAATTCGGCAGTAAAAAGCATCAAGGTTAAGTGTTTTTTCTATGCATCATCATGGGTTATGCAGTGGTGCGGGTATGCAATTGCGCAGGTTAGGATGTAGCTCTGTGGTCAACCGTCTTGCATCACCCAAATGATTAGAAAATCCTCTTGCACAGATAGACACTCTTGATCCATCATTTTATACACCTGGTCAGGATACATCCAGCCTACATGAGATCAGATGAGCAGTCATACCCAAAAGGATTCCAAGCCAAGCTGTGACCCTTGACCTTGAACAAACCAGGACTAAAAATTTCATTGATTGGTTTCAAGATGTCACCACCACTGAAATTGAACATATATGAATCAACATGTTCCAAGCATTAAAAAAGGGTGGTTGGGACTCCAAATCTTGCAGCTTCACAGTTACATGTATCATGGCGGCGTAGCCGCTAAAGCGGCGCCCGCCGCTATTTTGCTAGTACTGTTGAATTCCAAAAAAGGGGGCTCCCACATGTTCACCTTATTCTATTCCTCGAGGCAGCAGACAAACCAAATACTCCCGAACTCATTGATTGCTTAATAAGTTCGCAGCTTCCGGACCCGCATACTGAGGCCAAACTTTTTGACTTGGTTACGACATTTATGCTACATGGGCCTTGTGAAAGATATAAATGTTGGACTGGTTCTAACTGTCGACTTGGGTATCCGCGAGCATTTTGTGAATCGACAGAGCTTGCAGAGGACGCCTATCCAACTTACAAACGGCCAGACAACGGAAGATCCTTTGATAAAGGCAATATTCGTTACGATAATCGAAATGTAGTTCCATACAACAGGTTCTTAACACTAAAATACGAATGTCACATAAACGTCGAAGTAGCTGCAAGTATACGAGCAATTAAGTATTTGTTTAAGTATATCCTCAAAGGACATGATCGAACTATAGCAACAGTTGACGATCCAAACAAAGACGACGAAATATTAGCTTTCGTGAATGCACGATTCCTCTCAGGAATTGAAGGTACAGTGATTTAATACTAAACCTGTAACGTTGAAATTTGCAGGATGTTAATCTCTACTTTGTCCTCCCAATAGCTATTTGGCGTTTGTTAAAGTTCGAATTATCTGGGCGCAATCCAGCAGTGCAACGTTTGAGCCTGCATCTCGAAGGCCGCCAAACAATTTATTTCTTTGATGAAGCTGGGCTCCGCCGATCTATCGAGACTGGACGAGCAGAGAGGACTACACTAACTGAGTTTTTTAGATTATGCTCAGAAAACACTCCTTTACGAGAGTCAAATCTCACAATCCGCTCCCTTAAATACCAAGAAGTACCGAAGTTCTTCACTTGGAACGAGCAAACAAGGCGCCTAGCTCCGCGTAGGAATAGTGTTTCATCAGTTGGAAGGATCTACTTCGCCAATGTCAAGCGTGGTGATATCTATTACCTGCGTTTGCTGTTAGCTCACGTTCCCGGACCATTATCCTTTAACTACTTGCGCACAGTTGATGGAGTCGTATTCAGTACCTTCCGTGAAGCTGCTGATAGGCGTGGATTACTATTAGATGATCGACACTACCACGCCTCCCTCACTGAAGCTGCCGTCTGGAAAACTGGTCATCAGTTAAGGCTTATGCTTGGGATTATATTGGTTCATAGCTCACCTGCGGCCCCACGTAGCTTATGGTTTGATCACATTCGAGATCTAACTGACGACTGCGAATTTCAAATCAGAAGACTCAACCCTCAAGCAGAGCTAACTGAAACGCATATACATAACTATGGGCTTTTCTTACTAGAGAAAGTTGTGATAGCTATGGAGACAACTTTAGACCATCTTAACATGCCACCAGTTAACCAACAGTTGCTAACTGAGTTGAATCTTCCGCATGAAGAACAAGCGTACCAGAGAAATTTGATAACTCCTGAAGAGAGTGGACGAAAATATTCATCCATGTTGGAGGTCATGACTCGTGAACAGCTATCAGTTGTTTTTGCTACTTGTGAAGCGATTGTTGACAATCGACCGTACATGGCTTTCTTGGACGGTCCAGGTGGAACTGGAAAAACCTATGTTTTAAATTGCATTTTACACTTTTGCAATGCTAATAACATACCTTTCGAAGCAGTATCGGCAGCAGGAATTGCCTCTCTCCTACTGTTACGCGGCCAAACAGCACATAGTGCCTTTAAAATACCGATTCCAGTACACGACGACTCTACGTGCGGCCTTTCACTTCATGATTCAGGAGGAAATAAAGTTGTGAATACAAAATTTATAGTGTGGGACGAAGTGGCCATGCAACATAAATACGCTATCGAAAGCGTTGATCGTACGCTCAGGGACTTGACAGGCATAGACGTACCATTCGGAGGTAAAATAGTACTTTTTGCCGGGGACTTCAGGCAAACTTTGCCAATTATAAGGAGAGGTAATTTAATGGTACAAGCCCAGGCAACCTTAAAGGCATCTTACCTTTGGAATGATATACATCGGTTTGCTTTAACAGTCAATATTCGATTAGGCGAACTGTCTCCTAATCCAAACGGAGCAAATGTAGCGTTTGCGAAGTGGTTACTAGACTTAGGTTCCGGTCGGCTCCAGCGTGATCATGTTGCATCAATCCCTCTTGAGCATTGTAATGTTTCGATTGTACCCCCACCAAGCATGTACGACCCTGAGCTTCTGAATAACGAATACGGTGGAATCCAGAACTTGGTTCAGCATAAGAATTGGCGATCTTTAACAGAATATTATTCAAATCGGTGTTTAATAACTCCTCTCAATAGAACAGTTAACTCGATAAATCAACATGTAATGGATTCACTACCCGGTGAATGCTACACCTCAAAATCAACAGATCTCATGGATGAGGCCTTTGTTGACCCAGTTACGGCCGATGTGTTGAATACATTTAATTTTCCAGGCTTCCCTGCTCACATATTGAAACTTAGAGTCGGTGCATCAGTTATGATTTTAAGAAATTTAAACTTGGCAACTGGTCTTTGCAACGGGACAAGACTTTTGATTACAGATTATAACAGTCATGCTTTGCAGTGTCGAATCTTAACTGGAGATTTAAAAGGAACATCAGTTAGTTTACCAAAAATGAAGCTCCATCACGAAGGAAACGAAGACTGCCCGATTCCTTTTTTTCGTTACCAATTCCCGATCATGGCAGCCTTTTGTATGACAATTAATAAAAGTCAGGGTCAAAGCCTGGAGCGTGTAACTGTTCTACTCCCCAAGCCTGTTTTCTCCCACGGCCAACTATATGTAGCTCTATCAAGGTGCACAAATGCATCGAATGTAAATGTTTCAATTAGCTCGAGCTCAGTGAATTCAGCTACTACCAATATTGTTTTTCATCCAATTCTAAATAATTGACTTCGATAGGACCTTATTGGAGGATAATTAATTAGTAAGAACTTCCTTATAATAAATATATCTCTCTTCATGGATAACAGCATCACAAACTAATGCTTGAAATCTTCATACATATATTCTTGGAACCAAGAATTGATTAATAATCAAGTTATGACTAAAGTAGTATGTATTTCATTTGCTTCAGTTTTAAATTTGGTTTATCATAACTTTAGTACATAGTATCGTGAGCAGAAGTCTATGATCTTTGATGATGGTGTAATAAAAAAGCTACAACACAAATACAACTCGGGATGTATAATAACTACAACACATTAAATATTAGAATATAATATCTATTCCTTTCTTGCTAATTTCAAATCAAATTGCAACTCACAAACTAATATTTTTAGCAAGTAGCAAAGAAAAAGTAAGTGAACATTAATTGCAAAGTTTGTATTCAGTGATTGAGAAGTTAATAGGTCAGTGATGTAAAACAGAGGTTTTATAAACTTGAAATACAACAAAACATTAATTGTTTCGTATAGAATTCTATCACAAATTCACGTAGTGATTTAACAGTTCACTTTCTGAGAGTGAGGTCACTAATTCATAAGTTGAGTCTCTATATGAAATAATACTAAATTCGAGAAAGATAAGACAGTTATGATAAACGACTTAATAAAATTTGTTGACGGAAAGAATAGTATTGAAAGTGAATGACATTCAGAAAGGTTTACATTACAGTAAAGGTCCACGCGACAAGTGAAGAATATTCATTGGGGAATTGTAGCAATTGATAAATACATCTAACTACATGTTTTATTCAGCATTATCACATAGAAATAGCATCATGGATTCTGTTTGTTAGTGAAGAAATTTGAACATTACACAATTTGGATTAAAAACATTTTTATGCAAATTCCTGATATTAGATCTACGTAGTTCATAAATTACAATTCAAACTGGATAACAACTTGACCAGACAAACTATAATTTTCAATGATCGCTTTGAGTCAGCTATCATACGTGAGTATGATAATTAAAGGAGATTGGCAGCGAGTAAGTAATACTCCAACTCACGTTGAATGACCTCAGAATTAAAAGCATATATATACACAATGCGGATTTCACTGATTACACGAAATGTGTAGGCGAATAGTAACTATCAATACCGAAACAAGATAAACTACACCACGGGGGCACTTTGAGTCTGAATTACGTCTCAGAACAGTCTCGCGCCGCGGCCGCCAAAGAGCCGCCTCCAGCGCACCGAGCGCCCGGCCGGTGCTCGACACAGGGCGGTCAGCCAGGTCAGCCCCCCCCCCTCAGGATAAGAACTATGCCGGCCAAAGGCAGGCATGATTCCGTCATAAGCTCGCCGGCGGTCGTCTTCGGCACGCCTAATCGCATGGCCAGTCCGCAGGCGAGCACACGGCAATCAGTCGCCCACGTGATCACTCCATCTGTGCGATCGGAGATGTGGCAGATGTGGCAATGCTGAGCCTCGCACGCCATGCACGTTGGTGGTAACATCGCACCACACCGCAAGAATCACTCCGATTCCAACCGTCAACTGCTACGTGAGGCCAGCAGAGCTCATCACATTTTCACTCAAGAGCACCCAATAATAACTCTCGTCGACAGTTTCATCAAGTAAGCCCGAGTAGTGGCTCGTTATTCCCCTCTCGATCCTTTTTTCTCTTGCGTGATTATTGTTTATGTACGTGGACCTTTTCATAGGTCGATCCGTTTTCAAACTCTTTGAACGCTCATTTCTGTTTGTTCATAAAATCCCAAATCCGAACGGCACACACACAGAACCCGGCGTAATCACCTGTTCCCAACATGGCACAAGGAACCAATGCACCTAACCAATGTACGAGTGCAAGGATTCCCCCATGTTTCAGCAATTTAGCATTGATACTAATTAGCTTTGGCCTCACCTGCAGACCTCGAATTGATCTCGACAGACCCGTCCTGTCCGCAGTGGCGATGTATGGTCTGCACCCGACTGATGGGCAACTACGGCCCCCATTTGGCGTCAAGGCCTCACCTGGACGCAGTTGCCCGTTACGAGGCTCGTCAGGCGGCAGAACAACAGATGATCTCTGGCCTGGATGAAGTCCCTGACGAACCCTTGGTCATCACCACACCGACACCCCAAGAGGACATATTTGATAACAATGGCCGTTCATCCGACCCACCGGACGAACGCCCGCCGTCTCCTCTGTCGTACCTCCGTCTCCTCGAAGTTGCGGAGGCGAATCTACCTAGCGACTCAGAAACCTCCGACCTGGAGATTGATGTACAGAAGCTCCTCGAAGCGGTTAAAGCCATGGATGACGATGATTGGGGGCCTGCCAACGACGAAATGGATGATGCCCTGCTTGAGGAGGACCTGCGCGGTGTGAAGCAGCAAGAGGTGGCGGAGTGGTACCCATTTAAAAAGAAAGAGGTACGCACATGGATAATTGAGACTGTCTTGTGCCCCACAAGCACCCCGCTGATTAATTCCTCTTGGGCCTCAGCACATAGTCGCACTATTGATCATCGGATCCACCAGATCGATCCTATCCCGCTCCCAGTACCATCGAATCCGGGCTATTTTGCAAATATGTGATGTTAACTTACCTGAATGGGGAGCATTACGCGCGCTAAGTAAGCGTCTTAAAAAGAACCTAGGCCTAAACGTCTCCGAACGGACAAGTCCACACGGAACTCCCCTGTTTGGGTTGAAAGTTCAGACCATCATAACAAATGTAGGTATTTGTTATGATTATGACCCTCTCAGTTGACAATTACTATGCATTATGTCTGACCCTACATTAATATTTTAATTCTATAACAGGAGCTTGCAAACCCTCTGGTCAGCCCCTATCTGGTCTGCCTCCCCGAACTGCCAACCAACGAAGCAATCAACCGTTTGTCTCAGTCGCAGAAATGGCGCGAAGGGTTTAGCAAGGATTTACGTGTTCAATCGGGTGGTGTCCCGTGGTAA